AAAAAGGAAGTAAAATGGTTACTATGTAGGAAGATTGTAGCCGTGATAAAAACCTCTATGAATAATTATAAATTTCTCACATTATTTCTTCAATTATTGCAGCAATTCTTTGAAATAAGTAAGAGTGTAACAAAGTCTTTGGCAGCAAAGATGGGAAATGGACTTGAGCCTGCACATTCAATAAAATAATAAAGCAGGGAAAAAAGGCTCTTCAAAATTCCATACTTTTCCACACGCCGATTCTTCTCTCCCTACAAGTTTGTCAAGTTATGTCTCATTATCTCATCCTCATTTTGAGTGCAGAATGCCAGATATTTGAAAAATTAATATTTATTTGAAAATTTTATTTGCTCACTTGAGGTGTTCCTAGCAACTCAATTTCTTGTGCTTTATACTTTTTCATTTTATTTCTAGATTGAAAGCTTCAAATTTCATTCCTTATAACTTTAATTTCTCACTCCAAAAGAAATTCAGAAAGAGAAAGGTTAAAAGTTAAATTCACGAATCAACCTATCATTAAAAGAGAATACCCTCTTATTTAGCATGAGATGTTCAACCATCATCAAGGCCACCTGTGTCACTGAGAAGGCATCTGCTTTTACAGTTACCAAAGTCACTTGCGCTGACACAAACTTTATATTCCACTTCGATAAATTCTCTCATTTAAATCCCTGTAGAGTGTTCGAAACAAGATTTAATCTAAGATGTGCAATCTCGACCAAGATCCACTGCATTGCAGCCTTTTCCAATTTGCGCCCCCTTCTGTGTGAATGCTCCTGTGCTTCATTCACACAACTCAGAGGAATTATTTCACAGAACTCTAAGCCAACAAACAGGTGGTAGGTCATCCAAAGACAGAAAGAGTAGACACAGATTCAAGTACTCACCTTTTGTGCAAGCCCCAACTCCAAAATTTACCAGCTTGCAAGCAATTCCATAATGTGTGGGTGTTTCTTTTTCTTTTCTGAAAGTATCTATAAATGACTTGCTAAGAGAATGCCAGTGCATATTCAAACTGTAAAGATACAGATATGTACATACTTATTGTAGATGCTCAGTAGGAGATTCCTAACTGTTACTTGTATTTTTTTTTTCAATTTTTAACACAGCACACATTCCTCAGGAAGGACTGCAAACATGCCAAGTTTGCAGTTTGAAAACAAAGCTCATTTGAACCATCTAGTAAAAAAGAAAAACTTTTCCTTTTCAGTTAAATTTTTTTCAGGAAATTTATTTTAGAAGTAGATGAAATTATTTAATTCCAATTAATCCAGTATTCCCAAAGAAGGCGGTCCTCTACTGATGTCTTTCAAATCAGGCTGAGTTCAGCCCCAAAGGGAAATTTTCTAAGACTGTTTTTAAGAGCCCGCTATTAGGCTTTTAGAACTAAGCTTTCTTATGTTAAAATGAATATTTTGGAAGTTATCATTATTGTTGTATATACAACATGGCTATTCGGCACATAGAAAAGGACCTGCCTCATTCCTACCCCAGCAAGAGTAGATGAGAAAATTGTTCCATAAAATGTCAGGTAAGATACGACAGATGAGCAGAGTGGGACAACCCAGCCAGGAAACACTGTAGTGTGCAAAGTACCGAACCCCAGAGAGTACCAGGGAGTACCAAACCCCAGACATTTTGAGACATAATTCATGTGTCAAACTACAACCTTCTGCTCAAAAAGTAACATGTGAGCACTCAGAAAGCCTCTCAACCTCAGCCTCCACTCCTTCCAAGAGGTAAGGGAAATTTCTTCCTAGATCTAAAGTCATTCATTGTGACTTTGTCAGAAAGATTCTGTGCTAGGATTGCTCTGGTTATGTCATTCATTTTAAACTCTCTTCTAGATATTCTGTCACTCACAGCAACACCCCAGTCCTGGGGATCACTGAACTGAATGGCCAGGAATTCTTCATTCCCTAGAAGTTTAGTGCGGGAGAAGGGCTGGGCTCACTTGTTTAAGTACTAGTCGTGGAGATTGATGACTTAGCAAGTCGAGCTGGCTAGTGATCCCTGGCTGCTGCGCTGTCAGGGACTTGGTTTCTCCTCCAGTTTCTCCGCCCCCATTTCCATCCCCCTCCCCCCAACCCCTATTCCCCTTGGTCAGGTAAGGTTTCCTTTACATTTTGCCCACACTTTCCTGTCTTGCTTACCCATAGCCACAAAGGAAAGAGTCCAATTATTCGATCTCCTTATTTTTGAGAATCCGGCTAAAGAGAAAACAAAAACAAAAAAATTAAGATTGGAGATTGATGTTTAAATAAAAAACGAGATAAGTAAAGGTGGAACATTTTTAAGAATTCTGCAGCCATGTTCAAATAAGAATTACGGAATACTCTACAATTCAGATTTCCAAGAGAGAATACTAGGTAGAGAGTGAGGCAAAATTTCTGCCTTCTTCTCTGCTTCCAAGAGATAAAGTCCTACAAGCAGAAGATGCAAACACAGGGGTGACTAATCAGAGTGCTTTGTTTTAAAGAGATCTGCCTGCGTACTATTAAGTAGAGGTCAAGTACAATTTGATTTTCAGACAAGCTTAAATTTTAACATATGGCAGCAACTCACGAAGCAGACCAGTTGGCACGCCGTGGTCATTGTTTCTGAATATTCGTAAAAATTGCGGTAGACAAATCCTGCGAGTTGCCCTTCGCCCCCCACGAGAGGGATGCCTCTTGCCCTCACTTTTCCCAGAAGGTTGAGCCCTTCAGCCGGCCCTAATCTCTCCAGACCCCGGGGTTTCCCGGACCGAAGCTGTGAGAGCCTCAGCGGGGCACAGCCACGTGGCTTGCCCGCGCGTCGCCCTGGGCTCCCGTCTCCTCCTCCAGACGCCCGCGGCTACGACCCTCTGTCTGGCCAAGAAAGGGGCGCTTCACTGAGTTTTGCAAGACCAGACTGAGGAGAGGGGTGAACTGACTTCGGCCGGCGCAGAGGACCCGCACACAGGGAACGCAACTCCCGCGTCTCTCAAATCTGACACCCCCACCTCAACCGACTACTGCTTTTAACTTCTAGTTTGCTTTGCAATGTAAGGCAGGAACATGAAACGGTTATTCTATCCTAAATCGTTCCAAAAAAAAAAAAGTCTAGCATTGCAAAGATGGGCTTCTCTTCCACGGCGGCTTCCCTTCCCTTCTCACCGGCTCACCAACTTTTGTTGCTTCCCATCTGCCAGATCTGCATTAACACCCTCTTTTGGGGGGTCTTCGTTGTTAACTTATTGGATAGTAATGCTTAAAATGTAAAAGTGTTCAAGTAATTGGAATGCCTTTGGGGCGCACGAAACATAATTGCCCACTCCATCTCCTAGGATGGGTGGGGGTGGGGGAGGGAGCTCGCACAGCGGGCAGCAATGTTGAACCCCCATCTCACTCCCTTACGAGCCGACCTTACGAGAGGTCACAACGCAGGGCCTCATTCCGGAGTGGGGTGGGAACGAAATGGCCACAGGGTCTTCAACCTCGGGCTGGCAGCTCAGGCAATCAAGGCCTTGGCGAGGACTCTACGCTACCCGCTCCGACCCTGTTGCCTTCTCCAAGGACAGGACTGTCTTCCGCGGGGGAATGAACTTCTGCCTCTTTCTAGCACCTTCAGAGGTGTAGTCTATCTGGGTGTCGGAAAGCTTTAGTTTGGGTCACGGTAGAAGGAAGAAGGCGGCCAGATGCTTCTCGGGGAGGGGTGAGAGAGCAGGCCGGGGAGCAAATCTGCAGTCCCCGCGGCGCGGCCACGTCTTCGGAAACGCCCACAACCTCAGAGCCAGCCGCGGCGGTTTGGCCCTTGGGACTTCAGGAGCCAATCTACCTGACCATTGGGTGGGCTCCGCGGTTGCCAGTTTGCTTTGCCTTTTCCCCCGCCCCAGCGATCCCCAACCGGGCCCCATGGACCTAGAGGGTACTGGGGCGAAATGAGACATCACCCACTGCGTAGAAGCTGTTGCCGTCGCTGCTGTCACAGCCACTCCGGGAGGGACATACACCGCGGCCACGACGGTTCCCTCCGACCGCTTCCCCGGGCTGCGCTCGGGTGCGGGGGCGCGGCCCGCGCGCGCTCCGGCGCGAAAGGAAATCGCCCCGCGCCCGCGGGCGGAGGGCGGCGGGGAGGGAAGGGGGAGGGCAGCAAAGAGGCGGGCAGAGGGGCCGGCCTCCGGGGCCAGGTCGGTTTTGAATGGTTTGGGAGGACGAATTGTTAGACCCCGAGGAAGGGGGGTGGGGACGGAGAAGGGGGGCTGGAAAGCGGAAACTTTCCTATAAAACTTCGAAAAGTCCCTCCTCCCCACGTCAGGCCAATGACACTGCTGCCCCCAAACTTTCCGCCTGCACGGAGGTATAAGAGCCTCCAAGTCTGCAGCTTTCGTCCAACTCCCAGACACCTCGCGGGCTCGCCGGCACCGGCAGCGTTTCCAGGAGGCCGAGCGGGCTGTGCGTGCGGCCGTTGGGCGACTTCTTTTTGGACCTCGGGGCCATCCACACCGTCCCCTCCCCCT